TGAATAGCGAAGGCCTCCACTGTCCTTACAAGTTGATAAAGAAGAAAACGCGGCAAGTTAGCATGCATTCGATAGACGATCTTAAAATCATGGTCAAGGTTAGTACAGTGACAGGAATCGATCAAGTGGTCTAGAATAGAGATTGGCACACCCTTCCTTTCTTCCTTATAAAACCAAGCTGGAGTACGTTCTCGTATCCACGTGGAAAGCGTCCTCTGGCTAGGGCCAATGGAGGTGGCCAGACAGGGTTGTTATATTTTACAGAGATGGAGAACAACTTACGGCTGGTGAACCTCATTTGAACGTTTTACCACCTGATTTAGAGAGACGGTTTCGAGCATGTTTGAAGCTTCATCACCTTTGAATTCCAAGTTCATGAATCGGGTTTTCTTTGGAACCGAGTAGATGACCAGTTTAGATTGCTTATCTTTCATATTACTCTACGTACCTTTCCCTTATTACTACGATTATTATTATTATTCTGACTTTGAACTGTTTGCGCTTGTCCCACATGTCATTCGAAATCCAAAAAGAAATGCTTTTACAATGTCGAATCCTATCTTATTAAATTCCACACCATGATATGTAACATTTTATTTTCGCCTACTAACCCTATAATTATACGCTCCTTTCCAACATCTATTCATCTAATGAATTATTCTATATATGACATTAATTGTTTTGCCGCTCGATATTTAACTATGATTATAATCACAAACACTTTAGTTTTAATTGTATTTCATACTACTATTGTTATTATTATATGTATTCACACCTTTGATTCAATTGCCTTACCAGATATAATTTCTTTAAAACGATTTCACATCCAGATAATCAGGTCGTTGGAAAGAAGCTCTTCGCTGAGTATTGAAGATTTTAATGTTACAATGGGAATTATTAAATGATTACAGTGGAATCGAAGTGAAAACAGTGTTGTTTTAACTGACGTTTCGCCACTCATTAATGCTGTTGCTAATAGCTTTATCAAAGTAGCATTATTAAACCAGCATTTACAAAATCAACTCAGCTTATAAATATAACAACGTAATCATCGATCCTCAGCATGCGGGCATTTTTGCGTTGTCAAATTGGTAAAGACAACCAAACCAGGTGTAGATTGTTCGATTTCATAAAGTGTGCATAGTGACTAATAAGTTAGGTAACAATGTACTGGGTTGAACTCAAATCATAGAAACAAGAGCCACCAAAATTACAGATTATAAAAGGAGAGTGAGGTTAAAGGCAATGATTACGTAATAAGATGAGAGAAAAGAGACATCCAGCTACCAAGGCAAGGAAAGACTAATAACTACCTCTTTCTGAACACATAAATCTGGTTTCAAGTGTTTCATAGAAATTGCTTCGGTAAACTTGAGGAGAATGGAGCTCCTTTGTCTATTGATAATTTTGAAGGATTTCTCGATTTCTACCTCATGACCCGTGTCGAGGAGATGTCTGGTAATAGCGCTACTATAAGAGCTTGTTCCCTTGAGACGTAGGCTTTTCGGCACATGTTCAGAAAATCAGAGGTGTGCCCTTCTTTCTGTTCTCCCAATGTAACTGTTCCCTCAGTTACACGTAAATTTGTATACACAGTTGGAGTTAACATGAGAAGGGTATCTATTGACTTTTGACTGCACCAAAGAGCATGTTGTTCGATGGACGGGAACCAACTTAGCCAGCTGCAGGATAGGCTCTGGCCAGTGACTTCCTCAGCCTTTTGTTGAACATTTCTGCAATGTTTCCACCTTTAAAATCTAGTTGAATGAAGACAGGCATTTTTCAACTGTGATTTGTTTGGTGTTTGAGCCTTCACATCTTCCATATTTGTTAATGAATCTTTGAGGATAGCCGTTGGTTTTAAGCACCTTTTCGAGATTCGTAAATTCTTCCTCTAGTTTCTCTGCAGAGCATATTCTCCTCTCTCTATAGTACAGAGTCTTGACTAGTGCTCGTTTATAGCTATTTGGACAAAAACTATTAAAATGTAAGTATTCTCCATTCCATGTGGGGCTTTTAGTAGATTGACCTCTGGAGACTACCATCTTCTAGGCGTTGCATGGCGACGTCAAGGAAATGGAACTGTCCATCATTTTCATGTTCCATAGTAAATACAGTATGTGTATGTGCATTGTTGAATAGTCTGAGTAGGTAGGAGGCATGACTTTCGTTGTTGCATACTACAAATGTGACATCAACATATAGACAATAGGAAGTTGTTTGATCAATTGCATGCTTCAACTTTTTTTCTCAAGGTGTGACATAAAGATATCTGCTAAAACAGGGTTAAGTGGACTGACCATAGCTACACCATCTATTTATCGGTAAAGAGTGTTGTCAAACTGGAATTGTACACCCATGGTTCACATTAGCAGTAGGCGTTTGAATTCCGGCTCTGGTAGTGGGAGAAGATCAGACTGTTGACAAATGATCTCAATGGTTTCATTGATTGGGATCATTGTGAACAAGGAGGTTGCATCAAATGAAGCCATGAACTTATTTGAAACGTTCGTGTGATTCATGCTTTCGGCAAAATGAAATAAGTCTTTTATGGTATGATCGGCTAGCCTATGGCAAATGGGTTCCAACTTCCCCGCAAGCCAACGGGCAACCTTATGTTGGGGAGAGTTGATCATCGAAAGTATAGGTCTCAGAGGGATTTCTTTCTTGTGTCTCTTTGGAAGGCCATACATATATGGCAAGCGGGACCCTCAGGGTTTCAATTCATTGTAAGTGTTGTTGTCTATGAAATTCTTCTTTAGAAGATCTCTCAATACGTTTGTGATGCGTTTTTCAGTTGCATCTGTTTTGTCTTTCTGGCAGTCGCGACTTTGAACCTCAACGGATTATTCAGCACAGTTTTCATCCGTGCGATGTAGTCATCTTCATCCATCAGTATCACTCCTGAACCTTTGTCAGGTCGCAGTATGACGATTTTGTCATTATTTCTGAGAGCTTTCAATGCTTTTTGATGCACTTCAGAGAGGACTTTTGAATATGACGTTGGTGAGATGAGGTATTGATTTGCAACGTCGACCAGCTTAGATTTGAACCAGCTCTTGTCCTCATCAACTGGAGTAAGATCATTCAGCTGATAGAATGGATTTTCAACTTGAGATGCGACGTCAGTTCTATTGACAAAGTTATTCGGGATATGGAAGTTAAATCCGAGAGAAAGCACTTCCATTTCAATGCGGCTTAAATTCAGACTCGACAGATTATACACAAACTCCTCAGGATTTTCTGGGAAGACTTCATATATTTTTTCCTTCGTCAGGGATGATTGTGCACAAACTACTGTTGTTCTCGCTTTATTCAAATTCATCAACGGGAACATGTGTTTACGTAATGAAATTGATTATCACATTCGGGTTGAGTTTGTCACTTCATGGGAGAGGCGGGTGTTGTAAACAGGTCCAATTCTGTTTTAATCCATCATTCCTATTCAGATAACTTGGATTCGATTTGATAGGAAGTGCTTCTGAGGATACTAGACGTTCTTAGTGATTTCTGAAATGCTTTTTTCTGGATGATGATTTCAATATTGTCCAAATCAATTTCGTGGCCTGATTCTACAGCGTGGAGTGTAGACGTATGGCTGATAATTTTTCAAGCTTTTCTAGTTCAACTGGATTTCTCCGTGGTCGAACAGACACTCAATCTGCGGTGTTCATTTCTCCCTGGTGAAGTTTGTCCGATGTATATCGCATCACATTCCAAGCATTTTATTTTAAAGACACAATTATATAAAGAATCTTTAAGGATTTGGTCTTTGTAGTGCGTGTGTCTGATATTTCGAAGAAAACTCTAATATCACGCTTATTGAATACTCTTCTGATATCGTTTGACGTCTCTGCTCTATACTGAATGACAACTATTGAGGCCTCTGTTTTCGGAATACATTTTCAACCATACTTAATGTCAGTGTTGATTTTGTTGATGAAGTTCTTCGGGTAGTTATTTCGCTTGCGAGTCTCAGTAATGCTTGATATTTCTTCTTCTTCCGTTTTCTCATTTCTCATCCGTTATCAACTTGTCTGCTTTCGACATAGAACTCTGCACTGATGTGCGACAGTTCGAGTCGCCACACTCCCTCCTTGTAGCACACAAAGTAAGAGAAGAAAGTAAAAGAAATGCAAAACAGAGACAGTAGCCAGAGATATGAGACAAAAGTAATAATAATAACGAAGGACAGTATAGTTTCATTGGAAATCATAAGTCACAAGGAGTGGATGCATCTGCGCCAGCCAGCCATTGAGAACGATCACTTTGAGCCATATCACCAGCTGTCTCGAGCCGCCATTGGTTTTTACCGCCCCGAGGACCCCAACCAGTCAGGAAGTCTACACCCTCCTACGTGGCTGACTTAAACTAACTGTTGTGGATTTCATTGGTTGATGGAGCCATGTTTTGGTTTGACAGCTGCTAGCTCTTTTCCAGCCTGACCCTATATCAGCTAACATTTCCTGTCGGTCGAGGAAGGCGATGACTAGGCACTTGACAACGAGGAAATGATCCCATGCTGAAGGACGATGATTACGTTGTTACATATGTATAAGCTGAATGGCTTTCGTAAATTCTGGTTTAATAATACTACTACTTTGATAAAGCTATTAGCAGCAACATTAATAAATAGCGAAACTTCAGTAAAAAACAACGATACCGTTTTGTTTTTCATCCGTTCATTGCGTAAAAACATAAACAAAACATAACCAAAACTATAGAAAATTAATCTGATGCCCGCTAGTGACTTGCTACAGCATGGAGTTCCCTGGAGTTCTAGTGAGAAGTCGTGACCAGTGAGATGCAAACCAAACTATAGGTAAAAAAAATAAAAAAGCACCCCTCTTTACTATGATGAATACAAAAGACCCTCTTTATTATAATGAATACCATGAACCCAATGCCCAAATTTTTTCAAACTGTTAAAAGTCAACTTGGTTTGGACATATACACATATAAACTGAAAACAAATACTACATACAAAAGAAAACACTTACAGCACAAAATATAATCGCTTGACCAACTGCAAATCCACCATAAATATCTTTTAAGGCTTGATACTTTTCAATCCAATCATTAAAACACATATAGAATTGTTTAATATTCTTCAACGGGAGTTGACTACGCTTTATACGAAATTCTATTGGATTCGGGACAAAGTCATGCGCGAATTCAATGACAGAATCTTCATATGTAGCTGAGAATAACAAGATTTGACAATTTCTAGGCAATTTGCTTGAAAGTTGATTGTAATGAAGAATAAAAATCAATATCACCACAGTGGGAGAAATAATAAATACACAAAATGTAATTTTTTTTAGAATTTTTATTATAAAATAATAAAGGTTATGAAGCTCACCCTTACCTAAATCAGTCATTAGGATATAGCCAATGTTGTTGTGTATCCCCAGTCCTTTCATCATAGATGTACTGATGGACTCAACCCTAAGTCACTTCAGAGCCACAGGGATTGACTTGCTACCAGGGATAATCTCGTTGACTTAGATGATGTAGTCCTTCTAGGCGAGGATGCTGACAAAACAGAGCAGTCTTCTGAACACCTTGAGCTGTGATCTATGAATGTTTGGCATGCGATTCGCTCCCTCCATCAAATGTAAGATGATGTTACAGGACTGGACTACACTGACTCTTAGTTTAGAAACAGGAAGTGAAGTGGTAGTGCACGTTGACCGCTTTACTTATTTCTGAAGTACCACATCAGCCCCAACGGGTTGATCTTTGACGGATACAGAGGGCTAGTTTCGCATATACCAGTTTATGCCGTCTCTGGAGTGGACGTGATATCCGACTATCGACGAAAGGGCGGGTGTACTGCTCATCAGTCCACTCCATCGTCCTTTATGGCTGTGAGCGAGACCTGGGCATTGAAAGTGGAAAATATGAAAAGACTAGCTGTCTTCGATCACAGGTGCCTGCGCTCCATCTCCCGTGTGAAGTGGTATAATAAGGTGAGCAATATTGAGGTTAGGTATCGGTCGACTGCTAGGTAAGAATGGGAAATCAATCGACGAGGCTGTGAAATTACATCGACTGAGATGGTTAGGACATGTGTTACGCACGCATCCCTAGTCATCGCCTTCCTCGACGAACGATGTTAACTGACATAGGGTCAGGCTGGAAAAGAGCTAGTGGCGGTCAAACCAAAACACGGCTCCATCAACCAATGAAATCCACAACAGTTAGTTTAAGTCAGCCACGTAGGAGGGTGTAGACTTCCTGACTGGTTGGGGTCCTCGGGGCGGTAAAAACCAATGGCGGCTCGAGACAGCTGGTGATATGGCTCAAAGTGATCGTTCTCAATGGCTGGCTGGCGCAGATGCATCCACTCCTTGTGACTTATGATTTCCAATGAAACTATACTGTCCTTCGTTATTATTATTACTTTTGTCTCATATCTCTGGCTACTGTCTCTGTTTTGCATTTCTTTTACTTTCTTCTCTTGCTTACTGTGCTACAAGGAGGGAGTGTGGCGACTTGAACTGAGGCACATCAGTGCAGAGTTCTATGTCGAAAACAGACAGTCCTTAGTGTCAATGCTGGTTTGAATTCTATCAGCTACCAACCAACCAATCAGGGCTTCCTATCGATTGTCTCCGATTTTCTAACAGAGTTAACCTGTTTTCTTCAATCACATTTATGAACTGTGGCTTTTATTGGATTATTCTTCAACTTATTATTTAATCAAACAAGTTCATTGTCGAATTTCTTAACACCTCTTGTCTTGATTTGGCAAAGGTTCGAAAAAAGTTACACACAGCTCATTACTAGCTCATCTCACCGATGCTGGCTAGAAATCAAGGTGACTCAAACAAAGTTTTTAAACTTATTTATCGTATATCAACCAATATCTCTCCATATGGTCTACGAGTATGACTTTTACATACAGCAGAGACAATTGGAATACATCCGAATAAGTCAAATGCGTGCGTGCGTTCAAAAGAAATTTGTACAGACCCGTTTATTTGTCACGGCCTCCCTTTGTAACCGCCTTTTGACTTTGCTAATTTTTCCAATTCTAGCTAATTCTACTAACTCGGTTTAAAGTGTTTCACAAAAGTAGACTAATATATAATAATTAATACAACTAGTCACTTTGATAAATTTGAATAAGGCATTTCGAAGACAAATTTTGCGACATGATATCTTCATTTCGTGATTTCTTTACAACCGCTTTACAGCTAGCATAGTTAACAATAATAAAATGCATGACAATTACTCAGTTATATAAAACAAAAAAGGTAAATACTTAATAATGACCAGTTATATGTAAATAGATCAAGTAGTCCATGGTGGATGAAGGCTGAAGTCTATTGTTTTTTGTACATATAGTTTAGGCTGTATATGATGATCAATCCAAAGTGCTTCCATCCCCTTCAATAGCCAACCTTGAATTAGAATTATGTGAAATAATTGATTTTGTGACCTGACACTAATAAGTGTTTTGCAATGGATGATGGCGGATTTCTATTCAGATTAATCGCATTGGGATTTTAGATATGATTTAATAGCCATTTTGGAAGATGTTCTTTTCGACGACATTGGAACATTCTATTGGTTCTACCTATATATACGTGTCACCGCAACTGCAGGTGAACTTGGAGATTCACTTTGAAGTAGAGTCCACAGAATTTCGTCCTTTAATCGTAGGCACACGGATCGAAAATGTTCGGGATGTGAGAGAAAGAAATGCGGTGTAGGTTGTGCGTTTGATGGCTGACCGAAGTGTCTTTGAGCTGTCAACTGCATGATCTGGTCACCCTTGAATTGTTTTATATAACTGAGTAATTGCCATGCCCTTTATTTTAATTTATTATTGATAAACATGTTAGTTGTAAAGCGTTTGTAAAACAAAACTATGAAATGATATCACCTCGCGAAATTTGTCTTCTAAATGCCTTATTCTAATATATGATAGCCTGAGGTCAAATTTCGATCACAACTCATACAATTTTGTTTATTATACGCGTTGATATCTGTTTCATGATTCATACGACTGGACAAAGTTTTTAAAAACAAAAGATACCCCTTTATACATAAACCTCGGTTATGTTAATTACGATTAATTTCCCTGAAGAAGTTCGGAACAGTTTGCCGAACGCAGTAAACATTGGAATTAATCATTGCAATTTCGCTGAGATTTTACAAATATATATATATATATATATATATATATATATATATATATATATATATATATACAAATGTCTACTTCTCACTCGGCGCCGACTTATTTTGGGACTATACGGTCAAATCTTGATCCCAGTTCATATGAACTAACTTGTTTGTTTGTATTTTACGTCATTCCTCTGAGTCATCCTATTCTTCTTACTACTCATTATTTTACAAATTTCTTGATTATGTAGTAACTTGTTACTGACACCTAAGAATCAACTTATCTTAAATTCCGTAATTAATTTTCACTCTCCCTTCAAGAATTAGATGTCTTGTTTCTAACATCTATTAGTTAACTGTTCTGATGACTTTTAACCTCTCAACCTCACTCTCTCCTATACCTAAAAACGAATAAATAAAATAACCACTTGGTTGGTAGCAAAATTGTAATAAAACAACTATATATTAGTGTAGAGCGAGCCGATGATGGTGATGAGAAGCTAATTGAAAAGGAATGCATATTTCTTCGCTCAATCTGTTGTATTTTTTCTAACGTGAACATGTTAGTCACTGGCTTAAGCACTAGGTTTTCCGGCAAACGGGCTCTGCCCTAGGATTTGAGTCTCACTCCATCTACGTCAACCCTTATACACAATAAGTGTGACTCTTAGCCTGATAGCATCTGAAAAATTTATTCCAAGTTTAAAAGATTCAGCCTTCGTATACAAATATTCCATTTAATGAATTTGAACAAAAGCGACAGCAAGAGATGTAGTTATTTTTAAACCTGCACATAGTCGTTCTTTTATTAAGGTGTTTGACAAAGTCTTATAGAAAAATTTATATACAGTTTCCGTCGAAGATCTGGTATAGAGTTGATGAATTTTTACCCGACATACAATACTTAAATTCATCGACCAATATGTTCAATGTGTCGGCTTCACATCTTAGATTTTCTATGAGAGACCTTGAAGATTTAATGTGAGATTTCATGATACATCGTAGATCACCGAAGAGTCTCTTTTCGGCAAATTCATTCGCTTAGCTATACAGTCGCAATTACATAAATACTTATTTTTGTATGTGTGTGTACATTAGGTTTTTCTGATAAGTATAAAAATTAGTTCGGGTTATTGTTATCAAGACTCTTCGCTGAACTACGTGTTTTGTTTCCATTAATGCCTAGATGAGGATTATTCACAAAATAAAACGTAGCAACAACCCCTCGACAGTCAAGAAACTCAATGGGTTTATGCGATACTCTGTCAAGCTTGCTGTGCGGAATGCCTAATGAACTCAAGACAATTAAACTTTTAATGTCAGTGAACATTAAAACAACTAAAAGGGAGACCAACCACCCTTTTCTAGACACTAGTTTCTTCAAGTTATGCACACCCGCACCAACGCCTAGGTACGACCCAGGGCCAGTAACCTTCAGTATTCCTCTCGAAATGCTCTCATGTGGCCACGGGTTGATAGCCTCTGACAGGTAGGCCCTATTCAACCACTCCAAGCGTCAATTCGGGTGTCCTTATTTATTTATTATTTGATTTAAACGCATAAAAAACTTGGTACAATATGGCACCAAGAAGAAGGATGCGCTACACAATAATAATAAAACAACATAGATTAAAAGTAAAAATATAAGTAGAGAACAGATAAAGAACTTCATCTGGAAGGAAGACATTCATGCTTAACAAGTTCAAACAGTATTCGTTAACTATCATCCGGAAGGGAAGAAAGGAGGAAATTGCAACACATTCGCGATTGATTACGATTCTTGGTCATATCCAATAACGTTTCGAGCCATCGATTTGAGCTATCTCTCGGCCCCCAACCAGGGAGTCATGACACACCAACCGATGCTAATCTAGCACAAAAATCCTTCATCCCACGAGGCCACATCATGGACTGACCACCTCTCCGCCTTTTCCATCCCGTCCCAGGGCTAGCGAACAGAGACCTATACGGGAGCCTCTGGGATGACTTTCGCAGCACATGTCCAAGCCACCAGAGCCGATGTTTCCAGATGACGACACTCAGTGAATGGTGATCTCCACTGTGTTCAAACACACACCGCCGAACCTCAGAATTACTCACGC